ATGGGTGGAAGCTAAAGCTTGTAGGGATAATGATCATAAAACTGTTGTTAAATTTTTAAAAGAAAATATTTTTGCACGATTTGGCACTCCACGGGCTATTATCAGCGATGGGGGTAAACATTTTTGTAATAGAGTTATTGAGTACTTGATGAAAAGATATGGTGTTCTGCATAAAATTTCTACCACTTATCATCCCCAAACTAGTGGTCAAGTTGAAATTTCTAATAGAGAAATTAAAAGAATTTTAGAAAAAACAGTTAATTCCTCAAGAAAAGATTGGTCTTTAAAATTAGATGATGCATTATGGGCATATCGTACTGCTTTTAAAACTCCCATTGGCATGTCTCCTTATCGTTTGGTTTATGGAAAAGCATGTCATCTTCCTGTTGAATTAGAACATAAAGCATATTGGGCTATTAAAACTTTAAATTTTGATTTGGAGCAAGCCGGTGTTGAGAGGAAATTGAAACTTAATGAACTAGAAGAGATTAGAAATGATGCTTATGATTGTGCTAAATCTTACAAAGAAAGAATGAAAAGAGTGCATGATCAGAATATTCTCAGGAAATCTTTTGAGCCTGGCCAGAAAGTCTTACTTTATAACACTCGTCTGCATTTGTTTCCTGGTAAGTTGAGATCTTGGTGGTCTGGTCCTTTCATTGTTCGCACTGTTTATTCTCATGGGGCTGTTGAAATTGAAAATCCTAAGGATGGTTTTGTTTTTAAGGTAAATGGCCAACGATTGAAACCCTTTCATGAGCTAAAATCTCCAGAGATCGAGGAGATCACAATTGAAGATCCTGTCTACCAGGACTAATTTTTTTTTTTGTTTTTCAATTTATTAAGTATTTGTTTTTTTTCTTAATCTTAGTGAGTCGGCTTAAGTGCCTCCCAGAGTTCGGTGCCTTTGTATGGGGATGTATATAGTGTCGGCCAAAAAAAAATATAACTTTTATTCGTCCTAGTTATTTGTTCCTTTTATTTTTTTCTTGCCATTTGTTTCTCAGGTGGAGACATAAACTTATTGGAGAGCTACGTGAAGTCGAGCCAACGACAGTAAATAACGCCGCTTAGTGGGAGGCAACCCAATATTTTCAGGGAAGTTATTTTGCTTAATATTTTTTTTTTTGAGCTGTTGATGCTTTCGTTCCTTAATCTCATTCCATATTCCATGTTTTTAATAGCTTTAGCTAGTATGTGCAAAGGTTTTTTTTTATAACTTTGACATGCATTGAGGACATTGCATGAATTAAGTGTGGGGGGACACTTGCATTTAGTTGTGCATTTTTTTGGAATATACCTGTTAAAATATATTTGCATATTTTTACTATACATACTAGATATTAGAGGAGCATGGGTTGGGTAGATTATTTTTTATTCTGCATAATAGATGCCATTTGGTTAAACAAATTCAAAAATTTTAGAGTTTTTAGAGAAAACTATAATAGTTGGAACCGTGTTTCAAAAAAAAAACTTATTAGAATTCATAATAATTACTTCTTAATCTTTTAGCACTCTAAGTGTTTGTATTTTTGCATTAAATGGAAATTAATATTGTAACAAATATGTTTGAGCTTCTTAAAAAATGAGTTTGATACTCCAAAGTTTAAAACATATCTTTTAAATCAAATCTATTTAGAACTTATTTTTATTTAATCTCTTACCTTTTATTTAGTTAAGTTCAATGTGCCTAATTTATTTAGAAGTATATGGAGCAGTTTTCTAACTCTTTTTCGTCCTAAGTTTCTATTCAAGTAAAGTTAGTCTTAAGAAAATCTTTTTTCTGCTCTAAACTTTGGTTAATTACATATTATCAAGATGCTGAAATGAATATAATATATATACTGGAACACCATCTTAGGTTGGAATGGGTGGCCCGGCACCTTTGACCCCTTAAGCAACGAATCCCAAAAGGAAGTGATGTTGTGTACGGAGAAAACCTAAGTTGGAAGAGCAAACCCCGTTTTGGGCCGTAAGCAGTGGCGGATCTAGAACTCCGAACCACTGGGGGCGAACTTGAAAAAAAAACTTACTCTCCTTCCATCCCACAAAAACATTTCTTGTTTGAAAGAGACGGACTTTAAAAATGTATGATTTTAATATTATTTACAAGCTAATTTTTATCCAAAACATCATATCCTTTTTTTTGAACAATTTTGCAATTGTATTATTCTCACAAAAGCTAAATACATAATCTTACAGTCTCGAAATCAATACAATCTACTCCCTCTACATACTTTATACATATCCTACAATATTATAAAATAATAGTAGATCGACTTAGAAAATAAGATATTTTTAAAGTGTACCTTTTTTTACAAAAGAATTTTTGTGTGAGATGGAATACTGAATTTCTGGGTGTAGATAAAAAATGATAATGAAAAACAAATTGTGGGGTAAGTAAGGTACAATTTGTTGTCCCAATAGATAGAGCAAGATTTTATTTGAGAAAAAAAAAAGCAAAATAATACGGAGTATATTACATCCATGAATATGGGGGGCAACCAACTTTTTTATGGGGGGCATCACTTTTATTTCTATAAAAAAAAATAAGGACTCAATGTACTAATAATTTTTTTTCTCAAACTCACTGGGGGCAAGTGCCCCCATTCCTTTCTACTTAGATCCGCCCATGGCCGTAAGAATCTCGTCCATAACCAGTTTAAAATAATAAGAAAAAAACCGACGCCATTGAGCCAAAAAAAGAAAAAAAGTGCAATAAATGGCTAGGTAAAAAAAAAGTAAAATAAAAGAAAATAAATGAATAAAACATTGTTTGAGCACTCCAGTTGAAACCCTCGGAATACTTCGTTTATTTAGGTCCTGGGCTATCTGGAATGGGCCTGGGGTAGCCTGGTTGAGACTCGCTACACGGGTCAACTCAAACAATGAAAAATTAAATATTAAATAAAAGTAATAAATTGAAGTTTCCAGATTTTAGAAAAAAAAATAAATTTTCTTGAGCATTTCTTTACTTGATGGTTCCTTAGGATTTCTAACCACTTTTTGCTGCTCTATGTATTTCTTTTAAATTATTCTCAATGGCCTTAGTTAATTCAAAGTTTTGACATTGAATAAAAGTAATTTCTACTTAGCTTTGAAGTGAAAGAGTTGTTTAAAATTTAAAGTAGCAAATTGAATTTTAAAGAGTTCATTCTATTTGGTATATGATTAATTTCTGATTAGTGTTCAAATACATCACTTTATATTGTTATAAGATAGAGAAGTTATTTTGAGTTCTAATATTAAAAAAAAAAGAGTTATGATTTTTGGTATTTACTTTGCCCGAGGACGTACAAAGGACTAAGTGTGGGGGTATTTGATACGTTACAAATTGTCACATTTTATTTGGTCATACTTTAGTTCTTTATTACATTTTTAGTACATTTTATGTTAAAATAAAGTGCATAATGAAATATTTGGCTTTTTAGGCTACTTGTTATATTTTTACACTAAAATCATAAGTCGGGTAAAGTTTTTATTTTATTCCAAGTTTAAATTAATTTCTCTTATATGTATTTTCAGATATACTCTTTTGAATAAAAAATGGATGTTAAATTCAAGAGATGGAGAATTGGGCCAAGCTTTAATGGAATTGAAGATTTAAAGTCCAAGTGCAAGTCAAGATCCAATTGCTATACAAATCCAACCCAACCCACATTAAACCTAAAAAAAAAAAGAGAGTAACATGATGGGTATAAAGAGAGAGGAGCCGCATCATCTCAAAGGGAGGCGGGAAACGGAAGAGAAAAGAAACGGAAAAAACAGAGCAGAAGACCTAGAGCGGCGGCTTTGTGCGACGGCAATGCTCTTCGGCGAGTCTTCCGACCTTCAGTGACGGCGGCGACGAATCTGGAGCGGCACTGCAACAGCACGGCCCATCTTCTTCCTCCAATTTCAGAGTTTAATTCTTCCCTTCTTCTTTAATTATGTCAAGTTTTACTATCAATTTTGTTGAATTTTACATTATGTTTGGCTAAACTCCATAGCTAGGGCAAGGATGAAACTTATATATTCTATTTGATTTTTACTCATGATTTATTTTTCCATATTGATCTTAAATGTTTATTGTCTATTTTTCCAATTGATTATTAGGGTTAATTTTTAGATGAGTTCAATCATGTTTTTCTCATGCTTTGAATAATCCTGATAATTGTTTGACAAGTTAAAAGAGCAGATATTAGTTGTGATTTCTTGATGAGATACAATTAATGATTTGAATTTCTCTTGAAACTTTGAAAAATAACATATTTTAGAAATTGTTTTTTAGAGCTTAATTGACATATCCTCCATGATAACGAGACTTGGCTGCGAGATTATGATGCGTATTGAGTTTGGAAAAAATAATGATTGAGTAAAAATTACATTTGAATATATAAGTGGATTCCAAGTCCTAGTTCTTTCTCATATTTGAAAACTTATTTTTAATCTCTTAATTTTTAGTAGTTAGTACAATCTTTAGTTTTTGTTTAATTTAAGTTTTCTTTAAAATTATTCACTTTCATATTTAGTTGTTTTTTTTTAAATATTAAATTTTGTCCAACTAGATTAGAAATATTCAATTGAATCTAGAATAAAATTCTTCACATATTCAAGTCCCTGTGGGATCGACCTCGTATTTGCGTTGCTATACTTTTGTACGGTTCGTGCACTTGCGAGTAAATAAAATATCACAACAAAAACCATGGAAAATACTAGGGGTATACCAATTGATATTCCCCAAATGTCTCCCACCTTTTTCATAACAACAAAAATTTGCAACTAAATTCAAAAAAAAAAAAATTAAATAAAAATGAATGGTAAAAAACATTTGGAGTATACTTTTGGTATTCCCCAAGCATGATTAGAAAACCATATACGGAGTACTTGTTGATGTAACACTTTCCAATTAGTACAAATTGTAAAACTGATGAGAGGGAAAAAAATGTACAATATACATTTGCAATTGAGCTAGTTGGAAACTATAAGAATTGGTTCAAATTAAAGTTTTAGATTAAATAAATCGGTACAAATAATTATTTCTCTAACAACTAAAGTTATTTAATCAGATGCAAATAATTTGTGTTGATTAATACAGAGTGCAAATTTATAGAGAAATACATAGTCCAATATGATATTGATATACAGAGTGCAAATGAAGGAGATGGAAGGGTTGGTTCGGATCAGGTCTATTACAGTGTTACTTCAAACCATATTTGGCGAGAGCTCCCGTAAGTTGCACTTTCTCCCTGATCTTCAGCCTGAGATTAATATAAAAAGAGTCATTTCTAACGTGTGCACAGTGACTTCTTGCAAACGAAACATTTGTTAAGGTAACTAAGTTCAGGGACAGACAATCATTAGGATTCATTATCTCTTAGCAGATCCAAGAATGTTTGAATTTCCTGATGATGACTTGCCTTTCTTTCCTCTTTCAGCTTTCTTCTTCTTCTCATTTACTTCTGTTTTCTTCTGAACTGCAGAGAAGGATGATGAATTACTTCCTCCAACCCCTTCCTCATCGCCCGCGTTAGTGATCCCCTCAAACATTCCAGAAACTTCTCCATCCCAATCAGCTTCCGCGAGATCAGAGCAATGGCGAGTTTCATTGGGAAACTGCACGTTCTTGGATTTCACAGGGTTGGAATTCATCATCACACATTTGATATGTTTCTGGACCTTACCGAACCCTATGCTCTTCCCTGAGAATGTCTGTACAAATCTACCATGATCCAGAAACTCTCTCAACACAAAAGAATGCAGAGTAAAAGACTTACATTATAAATAAAAATGCTTTCTTTCTTTTCTTTCTTTTTTTAACCTGTGTGCTCTATCTTCAGACTTGAAATCAATGAAAGCGATGCCTTTGCAGGTAGGGTCCCTGGTCTTAGCTTTTCCAGAAACAACTGGGTTTATCTTAACCATTCCAGGAAACTCTTTGAAAGCCGATCGTAAATCTCTGTCGACATTCCTTTTCTTAGGAATGTTGATCAGGCACACACGAACATGTTCTGATGCTGTAGAAACTCCAGCATGCTACTTGCCAAATTAGTTTCCACGTGATGCAATAACAGTAAAGTATTTGAAAGAACGAAAAACCCAGAGTAATCCCACAAAAGTATGGCCTAGGGAAGGCATGGGTAAGCATATTTTACCCCTACTTGGAAAAAAAAATGCTGTTTTTAATGAATCTCCAGTTCAAAATAACAAGATTGTGCATATATGGTGAATGATCATCACTATGCAAATTTTCTCCTTATAGACAGGTTTTCCAAGGAGGCCTTATGTGTTAGTTTGCATCTTTGCATTTGGCCAATCAGATTTGATATGGTTTAAAAATCTCCATTGATGGTTACTTTAGCTTGTATCTTTATATTTGGCCAATATATAGGATAAATTAACTGATTAATGGTATGAAAAAATAATGCCAGGAGAGTTTTTAAAGAAAAAAAACTAACCTCCTTCTTCTTGGTGGATCTGTTTCTTATTTGAGGCAGGATTTGGAGGTGGACTGTTCTTGAGCTTGTTGAGGTTAACAAGCTGAGCTCTCCTGCTCTGCTCAATCTCTTCCATCAGCTTATCTTCAATCGAAGTGTCGTACACTTCTCCTTCTCCAAATCCCCGCGGTTTCTTCTCATGCAATATCTTCATACTATCCCTCAGAGGAAGAAACACGTCGCCGTCGTCCTCGTCATCGGAATCATCAGCACCGTCGACACTGTCTATTTCAGTCGGAGATTTGGCGGCCCTCTTTTGATTGCTCGACGCGAGTGAGAAAACCCTAGTTTTCAACTGCCGTGGAAGAGAGAAGGAACCGGGTCGGGTCACTCCGATTGAGGGTAAATGGAATCAGGTTTGAGGGGCTCGGAGAAGATTGGCGCTGCGGAAGAATTTGTACTGTGCAGGAAATTCACCAAGACTGAGCATTGCTTTGAATTGTTGAATTGAAGGAAATTTTTGAACGTCGTCGAGGAAGACGATGGATGAGAAGATTCGGATAAGATGCTTGATTTAAATGGGCTTGTGATTTTAGTCTGAGCGCATTTTACGTGCTAAGCCCAACGAAGAAAATAAAAACGGATGATTGGGCCTTGGAAGTTGAGAAAATGAATTCTCTTTCGTGGGTATCCGTGTCATTCTAAAAAGTTCGTTAAAGGTGGTAGGGGAGAGTGTGGCATAGTTTAATACGGTATTTAGCTCATATCGATATTGTTTCAAATATTTCAATTTTGTATAAAATTTTATGTCTTACCGATATGGTTCTGATTCTAAAGTATGGGTTCACTATAGTACAAGATGGTTTGGTATCGGTTTTGGTACAAATCGAGATGATATATATATATACTCCCTCCGTCCGGAAATGATGTTCTCATTGTACGTTTTTTCTATCCGGGAATGATGTTCCCATTGTACGCTTTTTCCTCTATTCTCCCTAAAATACCCCTCTCATTTAATATCCTCACATTCACTCCTCCTATCTACCCAACTACCCACCTCCCCAATTAAACCCTCTCGCCCCTCTTTAGATCTAATCTACTCTCTCTCTCTCTGTCAGTTCTTCTTCTCTCCCAATTCCTAGATTACGATCATTCCTCTCCCAGATCTATACATCTCCGCCTGAATTCATGGAATCTGATTACTCTCTTTACGATTCCATCATCCCTGAGACGAAATTTCAGGACATTGGAGTTGAGGACGAGGTGATTCATTTATCTTCCACCTATGACGCGAAGAAGGAGGACGAGGTCATCGTCATCCACAGCGATGACGATGATGCCGATGTTACCCCGGTTAGAGATAAGAACGTAGTTATCGTCCTTGACTCTAAGGAAGATTCTCTGTTTGGGAGCAAGGAAGATGGCAGTTTTGAGGATGTAGAGGGATCTGAATTTTTTGAGAATCAGACTTCTCCATCCATGAACTTACACATGCACCTCCACATCGATCTGCTGAACATTTTAGTGCCACCCCGGATCCTAACTTTTGGGCATCACAGTACAAGTAGGGAAGTTCCTTTCCTTTCACTCTAATTCTTTCTGATTTTATTCTGAATTGAATTTCAAATTTGTGCTTCTCTTAAGTGGAGAGTGTGTACTGTGATGAGCATTTTCCTATGAATATGTTAAGTCTGTATTATGACCATTTTGTATGAATCTGTTAAATGTGTATTGTGATGAGCCATTTGCATATCTGGAAATGGATCTGAGTACCAATGGCTCTGTCTTGAGAATAAAGTGTGTGCTAATTGCAATGTGTAAATGTCTTGGCCAATGTCTATGAAGACTGCTACTAGCATTGTCTGAGACCAAAAGTACTATGATGATGTGGGATATGCCTCTGAGTACTAAAGTTAGCAATGATGATGTGGGATATGTTTTTGAGACCGATATGTTGGCTATTGTTTATATGTGAACAAAATTACATTTAGAGCATATTGTGGGTAGTTACCTTGATTTGAGTACATATATAGCAGTGTATAAGCAGGTGCAAAAACCAAAAAAACAATCTACCTAATGTGGGTACCAGTTACATAATCTGGTTACCTCTTAACAAAAAACAAAAACCCAAAAACCATTGATGCTTACAACATTGGATTCAGTTCAACTCTGAAGAGAAGTACTCATCACCCTCTTCATTGTTGAACTCAACCATGCCTCCATTGATAGCCCCATTCTGTTCTCCCAGTAGTGTTGATGTCTTCTAGATTAAGCCTATGTCTATGCTCAAGGAATTTGGCAGTGTCCCTGCCCTTGCTAGTCTGTCTTTTCCCATATGTGGCAGTTTATAGTTGTTGCCTTCTTCATGTTCCATGATTTTAGTTAAAACATGCTGGTAACTCAACCACACCTTGTTTAGGGTTTCTGGACTTAGAGCATTATATGCTCCTTCCACTACATCTAACAGTTTAGCTACTGTACTTGGAGCACACTAGTCTTTTAAGGATTGAATTGCTCTGAAAAATCCAAGGTCTAGGACATTTAAGTCTAGGGAGTTGGGGGGTTGGTTACATAGGGTGATCTGAAATCCATTTCTGTTACCTGCTGCCACAAAGTCTGTGTCTATTCCTTGAATGTGTGGCCTTGCATTGTCTTGTTGAATCTGTATGATTTTGGATAATTGTGATGGCCACTTTTCTTAGATAGCTGGAATTACTGTATTGATGAGCATTTTCTTTGTGATTTGTTTGGTAACACTGGTGATTGCTTTCACCTCTACCACCCCCCTTTCCCTGTTCTTGCTCTTTCTTTTTGCCTGCAGTTTTTCTGTAAAATGAAATATCCCTACTTTTCCATCCCACAACAGTTCTTTATTCTCCCCAAAAAGTGGTCTCCCAACCACACATAAGAACATAACTTTTGCTATGAATCTTTTTTATTTACATGCTCTGTATGCATCTTCCTCTTCTGGAAGGAGATAAAATTTTTGGGAAGTTTTTGACATAAAGAACCATTTCTCATCAATGTGCAACACATTGTGAAAACTCTTAAACGTAGGGCTACTGGGAATGGTATTAGGTTCTATCTAATCTAAACAGAACCTTAACCTAGAAATCTTATTAGCTTCTGTAAGGTACGATTTAATAGCATTAGAATGGCTCCTAAGCATACCTCTCTTTACCCACTCATGAATTGTGGACTTAGGCTTCCCAATGGCTGCTGCTAATACTCTCAGATTGGTCCTCTTTCTTAGAGGAGTTTCTGCAACTACTTTTAAATCCATGAAAGCCCTCTTCCTGCCACTGTTTCCTGCAATCCTGCTGCTCACATCGATGGCAACCCCATCCTCTAACTGTTTTTTTGCAATAGCCCATATCTTGCCGACTGTTTTTCGACAGACATTAAACTCTGAAGCGAGTTTATTGATTTGTCCATACTGAGCTGAAAATGTACCATCAGGATTCTCTTTGCAATGACGTGGTAGTGCTTCACTAATCAACTGCCTCGTTGTGTTCTCCAAATTCTTGGAGTTTTTGTTTAAACTCATTTACGTGTTTACGTGCAGGCCACCGGGAAAACGAGAGGAAAATAGCAAAAAGAACCAGAAACTGAAAAAGGGCATGAAGAAGAAAAAGGGCAGATTTGGGTGCTATGACTGGTTTCTAAAAGGGGAATATGCATGAAGAATGTGGCTGCTAAAAACGGAAAGTGCTGAAGTGGGGGGTTTTAAAGTGATGTAATATCCCATTTTAAATGGGTTTTAGGGGTAATTTTGGGCAGGTAGTTAAAAAAATGGGGGAAATATGAATTTTTTTGGTGTTTTGGATTGCAAAGTACACTTTTTCCACTTTCTCCCAATGATTGCAAATAGTGACTTTTACTTTATGTTCCATCCGTCACTTTCTCCTCTTTCTTATCCCCATCCCTTATTTTTAAAGCAAGGGTATATTGGACATTTAAAAGCCATTTTCCATCCCTCTTAAAAATGAGAAAAAATCAAAGTGGGAATATCATTCCCGGACGGAGGGAGTGTGTGTGTGTGTGTGTGTGTGTGTATATATATGGGGTGATTTCTGTGAGAATGATGCTTGGTGAAAGAAATAAGAATAAGTAACCATCCGTTTGATTAGTGGCACTGGACGATCAAGATTTAGTAGTGCATTTAATGACTCAATTAATTTATGTTTGTAAGGTAATCACGAGAGTGCTAACAATTAGGAAGAGTGAGTTAATAGGGGCATAAGAGTCATATGTTAGTCTAGTCCAATTTTGATCCGGTAAAATTGCATCCCCCATTCCTCACCATTTGCGCAATTACTCAGTTGGGATAAACTATTTTAATATTACAATATTAATTTCATTTCATTTAACTATGTTTTAAGGAAAGAATTTTAATTTTCATTTTTTCAAATTTATCACACAAAGATGCATTGTAATACCCACACATACATATGTAAGGCAAATAATGCACTGTGATTGCCCATGTATGTACTATAAATTGTCTTTTATATTATATTAAAATATTATTATAGACTTTTAAATATTTCACATTTCTGGATTGGATTTATTTAATAAGAATGCTTTCTGATGATCGATAAATGCACTATGATGGTAGATAAATTCACTATGATTTCACTTTTTATATTTTTTCTATTAATTTGTGACTTAGTGAATAATGACTTCTCATTGACTTTGTATGTGATAAAAAAGTTTTAGAATGTATTTTATTCATAACAACTGTAATATAAATTTGTGAAATAGTTTGCCTATGCGGGATTCGAACCCACATCTGTAGTATTACTGCTCTCCCATTTGAGCTAATAGGCAATGAATTCTTTTTTCAAAGTGACTCTCATCATGCACTTGAACCTACTAAATACACATTTTAGTTTTTTAAAATTGACATCATCTAACATATTTTAAACTTATATTCAAATGTATCACAGAATATTTTAAATGCATCACAATTTGCTTAAAAAATGTCTATTTAGAATTAGAATTTATATATGCATCATATTTGGGTTGGGAAAATTTCACAACTAGGTTCATCTATCAACTTTGGTTCTGAAAATGTACAATAACAAAATCCATTACGGAGTGTATTTTACCTTGGTTCTAAGAATGCATTATCTTCTTGATGGGATTAACCCGATCAGATGGCGGACCAAGAACGAAATAGAAATTAGGAAAATATAATCACACAATAATATTCTTTGATTGAATTGTCTTGTTGTGACTTGGATTACAATGGCGGGTTTTCCCCTATTTATAGTACTTCTAATAATCTAATTAGAATTATACAAAATAGAAATAGATTATGGAGATCATGGGGTTGTGATTCCCCCTCTCCCCGGTCTCGTTCTCTTCCCATTTCGCCCACAACTTGAGGATGTGGGCCACGTGTCCCATTCTTCCTTTGGACTGGGTCACCTTGATTTACCCCATGTTTGGGCCGTCCTCCTTCACTTTCCACATGCAAGATAACGGGCTTAGCCCGTCATCCCATCTGCTTCTATACCCATTAAGCCCTTATGGGCCTTGATTTGGGCCTGGAGTCGGGTCTACCAGACCCGATATCCATCACAAGCCCCCTAGTTTTCTGGCGACGTGTCGCTAGAAAACTAATGATGAGCCGCCTTCGATCTTCGTGTCGGATTAGAAACGTCGCACTCGAGTACCTCGGGTCCACCCTTTCAATGGATAAAAACCATCTCTGGACTCGTCTTCTTCCTCTCGCCACTGAATCGTAACCCGACCCGAATTCCGACTGCAATTCTCCTCAAAATCCTTGTCTCTCTTTCCGGAATGGCCCCTACGAATCTTGAGACCTGGACCCATGAACCCTCCATTATCAAGGAGAACGAGCTCCGAGAGATGGCCGTACTCCTGGGCAAAGGCTTCCAGGTCCACCATCCCAATGCTGTTGGGGGAATCAGCTTGTCTCATAATCCGAATCCCCATAAATATATGGTCATGCACTACCACTCCGTAGAGAATGGATTTAGGTTGCCTCTCCACGGCCTGCTCCGTGATCTCTGCCTCCACTTTAGATTTGCCCAGGTCAACTGACTGCCAATGCCCACAAGTATGTTGCTTCTTTCATCCTGAGGTGTTGTGCCCTGGACAGAAACCCAAATCTGGAGGAATTTCTTTTGCTCTTTAGTATTGGGGGGGTTCCCTTTCTACAGTATATACCCCCATAACCATTTTCCCATTTTCGAGAAGGTTGAGCTCAAGATCGATAAATGGTCATTGAAATACTTCGTCATTGAGTTTCCGGTCCACAGCCCCATCGATCTGCCGGGTGTCGTCCTTCGCCGCTCCATTTCCCGGACAAGATTTGCCGCAGCGGGCTCGGCGGAGGGAGTGTATAATGCCCTAAAGGGGAAGGAGGGGTTAAGTCCCCACCACTCTCTCCAAGAGGCAAATCTGTACAAGAAGGCAGGTTTCTATTACCCCCTGGGTCCCGACCCGATCCCGTTCGAGGAGGTACCTTCCCCTGAGAGATTGGCGACTACTCCTGCCGCGGAGTCTACCCCGGCTGGAAGCTCTTCTAGGGTCCAGTCCCAGGGCCACTCCACTACTATGGTGGTGCGCAATCCGGTCGCATCCCTGGACGTTGTTCCTCTTTCCGCCATTCCTGGGCTCAGGAGGCCCACTCCGTCCCAAAAACGACCAAGGGAGGGAGTCACCGATGACGATTTCCTACCAAAAAGGAATAGGGGTGATAACATCTCCGTTTCACCCAGCCCCCTGTCAACCTCTTCTGGTCCTCAGAACTCTTCTTCCGCTGCCACTCCCGGAAGTTTAGGGCTAGAGGTACCCAACCCGGGAAGTCTGGATTGGGAGGTAGATGAACATCCAGGTCAGGCGTCACTCACCAAACTGTATCTGCCCCCCTAGAATCGGGGGGAAAAGCTGAGGGGCAGAAAGAACCAGAGTCTTCTCTTGCAGCCGAGGATGAAGCCGAGGTGCTGCTAGAAACAGAAATCTCCCACCCAGAGGAGAATGAGGTGCAACAGACTCAGGAGGAGCAGCGAGAGCCGGACGAACGACATCCCGCTACTGCTCCCCCGACTGTCAATCTTCCCATCCGGAGCAAGTTCACGCCACGGACTTATTCCGCTTTCGCAGAGGGTTGGGAAGGCTTCTCCCGTGGTTTGAGATCCCTACAAGCTTCCCATTGGATCATCCAGGGGAATCTAGAGAGGATGCAGGGATCAGTGCAGGAACCCAAAACTCCCCAAGCTCGCCCTGATCTGCTTGCCCTCAATGCCTTGCACCTCGTGGAACAGGTACCCTTCCTCTTTTAACAACTTCTTTATCTCTCTCTGGGTCAGTTTTTTAATTTCCCTTCCCTTCTTTTAGGCCCAGCAATCGCTCCTTACCTTGACTGAGGAGTACCTGGGTGGAGCGTCAGGGAACTTCCGGGCTGTAATGCTTCTGAGGGAAAGGGAACTAGCTGCCAGAGCCTTACAACAGAAGGTTGACTCCCTGGAGCAACAAGTCTAGATCTTGCAAGGGGAAAATGCTAGGCTTCAAGCAGATGGCTCCACGGAGCTTGTGGCTGAGAGATCCAAGGTCCAGTCCCTTCAAGATCAGATTGCCAATTCCCAAAGGGAGACCCAAGATCTGGAAATGCAGTTCGAAAGATTCCGGGCACAAGTCTCCAGTCTGGAATCAAGGGCCTCAGCTTCAGAAAACCAGGTTGGAAGCCTGAAAGCTGAATTAGCTGAAAAGGAGTCCAGGATTTCCACGCTGGAGGAATCCCTCCAGGATGCCAAGCGCGAGAGTTCCCGTTATAATGAATTTGCCCTGAAGCAGATGGAGGCCAGACGGCTCGTCCTCGAGCAGTTGAAAGGAGAGAGACAGGCTGCAAGTGAGCTCCGGGAAAAGGTGGATGGACAAGAGAAGACGATCGCTGCTCATCAAGAGGAGGTGGCCACCCTAATTGCCCGTGCCCAAGCCCTCTACGAAGAAGGACAATTTGACATGCAGCAGTGCATTTACGGAGCAGTCTGTTAGAATAAGTGACCAACGCTAGAGGGGGGGTGAATAGCGTTTGATCGCAGAAATCGCAGGAATAAAAAATTAAGAACGTGAAAAGTAAAGAGCGTAGAAAGCGTAAAGGGAGCACACCAAGATTTATATTGGTTCACCACAACGTGTGGCTAATCCAGTCTCCCGAGAGACTCTCTCGAGCTACACTACTTCCGTTAAGCTTACGGGTGCTTAACAAACCGTTACAACCTGAGAACTCGAGTCCCACGAGCCTCAACAACACTTGCTCGGAGATACCGCACTCCAAGACTTCAACCCGAAGGAAAATACCTTTCCTTCGTACAACCAAGGGAAACAAGCTTCCCTTAACGTGTATACAACACTAAACACTCAAGAACAAGACTCTCTTTAAGAGTAGATGATGAGTAAACTAAGTACGCTCAAGAACAACTCAATCTTCACACAAATTGGCTCTAGAAAGCTATGGAAAACAATGTGATTTGGATGCAATGATAATATGTGTAATGTGAAGTGAATTGATGTGTAAAGCAGACCCAAACACCCCTTTTTATAGTGCCAAAATAAACTCCAACGGACCACTACATTAAAGGGGTGATTGGCTTTATTTATGGGATTGAATAAATTTGGGATCTGCAG